CATCCTTTCTGTCATAAAGGGTCGTGGCACTCCCTAAAACATAAGCATGGACCTCTTTACCTATTTAATATTTTGCTTCCTCACTTGGGAAAAGATATCATGTAAAAATCCATTTCAGAGAATTTACATTGTGTTCTTATGTTAGTCTATTTATAGAATGAACCTTGTGGACTCGGTCAGATGAAGCACCTAGAAAGAAATCCTTAGACTTTTAGGTGCCTTAAACTTCCAGAGGCACTTACTGGGTTTTAAAACACATCCATAAGCAAGCCGTGGCAGTTAAGCTCAGGGTAGGATTTTGAAACACCTAAGTGCCTTTAAAAATCCTGGACCAAGCCTACGAAGACTTAAAGAGAATGCAGGCTTTTGAAGATGCATGTTATAATGGCAACTGCACCTCCAAAGTCAGCTGAACTGCTAAGTAAACACCAGCTCGGATGAAAAGGATTCAAAGGGACATTTACATTCAGTGACCAAGAAATGGGTGTTGCTTCTTTTCAGATTACTAGCAATAAAACACAGGGAAGCTGCAGGTTGGTTCAGGCCTGACTGAATATGAGAACATATTTAAATGGTTTTAAAATGTGTTAAAGTGAGATGCAAATACTCTGGGTAAACTTGCTCACCGCTGACAATTCCATAGTCTGAGGTTCATTTCACTTGGTTGCTTTGTATGCGTGGGAAACTGGCTGAAGCTTCGGCCTCTGAAGGACATTGGACCAACTGCAGATGAACCTTCTGAAGAAGACAGCCACTTGCTGGTACATACGTGTGGACTAAAGGCTCTACTGCAGTAGTCTTACTGCTTCTTTTACCCCTTCACTGGCCTACATAAGTCTATATATATTTTTCTCCCTATTTTCAATCTAAAACTATGATTTGATTCAGAAGGCTGCTGTTGGGTTATGGGATTAAAGGCTTATCTTAAGAACAATGGCAGGTGGGGGAACCCCAATAACATACCCATGGAAAAGGAGCCTTGGCCCCGACTCCTCCCAGAGAGGGATCAGCCCATGGGCCGGGTGTGACACCCATCACTGTGAGTCAATGGGAGAGGCTCGCTGTGCTCCTGGGCCTTGCTGCCTGGGGGTATGGGACTCAGTAGGGAATGCAGGGGAGCAGAGGCTGTGGGGTCATACAAGACTTACCAGGGAATGCTGAAAGGAGGAGTCAGAGGTAGCGAAATGAGGGGCTGGAGGGGAAGGTTTGGTGAGTAACAAGCATGGAAAAATAAAAGGATTAGGGGTTAAAATGGACCCACTGGGTGTAAAAAGTCTTGTCTGGCTATGCCCTGTACTCATCACCTCAGCCTGGCTTGTCTCATTAAACTCTATTTTGATTATTCTCCTGGGCCAGGGGACCCTCCATTCCCCTTGTATGTGTGTGTGGTGTCAGCAATTGGAGTAGGGGCCACAGGACACAGGGGCTTTTGTGTCTGTGCTGCCAGAACCTGAAGAGACCAGAGTGCACGCACATTGTATGGGCCTGTGTGTCAGTGTGTTCACCAGTAAAAATCAAGCCAGGCCATGCTGGAGAGCAATGTAAGAGGCTTTTCTGTTCATGCCAATTGGTGTGGCTGGACATGTGTGTGTATAGGTGTGGGATGTGTGTGTGCCCATTGGGAACACACACTCAGTCTCTCCACTAGCTGGACTTGCGCTAGTGGCATCGAGCTGTGGCAAGCTGCACCTCTATCCAGCTAGCAAATTTGGCAACCCTAACAACTACCTTTTGGTTTTATGTCGTTATACCACTTAACGTAGCAGGTTCTTGAACTATGCCTAGGCTCTTTTGTGCCACGAGAGTAAACCTGTTTTAAAAATCCTAATTCCAGTGTTGTAATGGTTATAGGAATGATCTGAGATCCTGCCATCAGAATGCAGGATAGCTTGACACTGAGAAGCCTAATGCTGCTCTTGCACACAGGGTTTAAAGTTGAAAGTCCTTATTCATGCAGGTCTTCCACAGGTGGATTTCATAGCTGATAGCTGTGCCTGATTAACAGAAGGGGTATTAATCTGTCCTTGACTGAGATTAGTAAGAAGCAAAGCCCAGATGACAGACATACTGGATTGGTGGAGAGAGCAATCCAGAGACTGACTTTTGGAAGTGGCATACTAGCAGAAATGATCCTAACAAGATACAATGCTCTGATGGCAAGTATGAGACACAACGGTGTATTAAAGGATCTGCAAAGCATGGGGAAAGCCAGGCCTGAAGGCATATTCAAGGACATATAGACTCAAGCAGAGCCCAAGATGACCTCAATAAGCAGGCTACTGAGCAAATGACTTGCTCATGGATCTCTTCCAAAAATGCAGATCACAGACAGAAGGACATTTATTTGAGTCCTTCTGCAGAGAAAAAGGCACATAGTATCCAATCCTGTGGTGCTGACTGCTTGCAAGGCAAACGCGCTGATCCTCCAGCTGCTTCATGGATGTCAGAAAGGCATTTGACTCAGCCTAGCGTGATGTTTGTGGGCTGCTCAGAGGTCATCTGCAAGAAACTGCTAGCTCCACTGAAAAACACTTAGGGAAAAGCAAGTTTGGTGCCCAGAGTGCATGGTCTAGCTGATATCAGTCATGTCACAGCAGCATAGGGGCAGGTAGAAAAGAGGAGGCCTGCCAGATGTACAAATCTTGGTATAGATTTGGGGTTATTTAGGGGTCATATATTAATCTATTGGGCTTATTGTAACTGTGTTCAGACTGGAGGGAGCACCCAAGATTTTCGTCCTGGAGGATTCCAGCTGGGTCACCTTCATCCTAACGTGTTTCTTTAATGCTTAAAACATAATGCTTAAAACAAATTCTTTTAAAACATGAGTGAGGTTCTGCAACTGTGGCCTTGGGGCTCGTCTTGCACAACCAGAGAGCTGTGTTCAGGCAGTAGGGATGCGCAGGGATAGATGAATGCCAGGGCTGTGTATCAGGACAGGCTATCTAAGGGGCACTGGAAGTGGCTTTCCACCGAAGAGTCACAGGGATATTAAAATGGACAGCCAAGCCAGCCAGGCTGGGAAATCATGAAACAGGGATCCCTAAAGGGATCTTAAAGGATCCCTAAGGGGATTTTAAGATCCCTAAAGGGGTCACAGCAGTTCTGGGAACTCGTTTCCTGTCTGGAGGGAGCAGGGAGCCTCCCTTTGCATTAAAAACCAAGCTACTCAAGCCATGCATCTTGCAGGGCATGCTCTTGCGGCCACACGAGCTTTTTGGGAGGTTGCTCCAAAAAATCTCCTCAGCGCCCCTGCCGAGCCCTTTCCCCCCCCACCTCCCGCCTCAGCGGGGGCCGAGCCATGGCCGGGACGGGGGCGGCCGTTGGGCGGCCGTTTGGCAGCCGTTGGGCGGGCGGAGGGGTGTGGGGAGGGGGGGTCCGCGCCGCCTCGGAGCCCATAAAGCGCCGCCTGCGGGGGGCAGAGCCGGGCAGGGTAGGGCTGGGCGAGGCTGAGGCGATCGTGCCGGGGCTGGGGGCGGCCGTCGCCATGAGGGAGATCGTGCACATCCAGGCGGGCCAGTGCGGCAACCAGATCGGGACCAAGGTGAGCCGGGGGAGGGCGGGGGTGAGGGGGTTGCCCCCGCTTCTGCTGAGGGAGCCGCGGCTGAGAGGAGCCCTGCTGGACATAAAAGGCGTTGGGAAGCGCCTCAAGCCAACTTTTTACACTTTTTATTTAAAATATTTGCCTTCAGCGCCGAGGGGGGAGGCCGAGCAGCCCCCTCCCGGCGGCGGGATGGCGGGGAGGGCAGGGGCCGTGGGGCACGCCAGGAATCCGGCAGCTGCCCGGCCGCCGCCCCCAGCACTGAGCCTCCCCTCCTGCTCCTTCTCCTCCCCTAGTTTTGGGAAGTGATCAGCGATGAGCACGGCATCGACCCAGCCGGAGGCTACGTGGGTGACTCAGCGCTGCAGCTGGAGCGGATCAACGTCTACTATAATGAATCATCCTGTGAGTGCGGGGCGGGGAGCCTGCGGGAAGGGATGCAGAAAGTTGGGAGAGAAGCAGAAAGTTGGGAGAGAATGGCTCTAAGTGGGACTGCCCCACATATCTGGCTTCCCTCCTTGCTTGCCATCAGCCCCCCAGCACCTGCCAGCATCTCCCCAACTGGGGAGATGTAGCACGAGGGGATGTCCCAGAGTGGGCACGGCCACAGGGTCTGGAGGTGGAAGTTTGTTTGTGCTGGGTATTTGTTCTTTTAGCATATGATTATTTCATCAGATGTGTCATATCGGTTGTCCCAAATGAAACTGTTGGTTATACAAGCCCGCATCTGCAGTACGCTGATTTCAGGATGGAGAGGGTTGGGCCATAGCTAATGGCGATTCATTAATACGTTGCTGAAAGTGCCCAAATCCTGTGAGGCAGTCTGGTGTTGGGAGTGAACTGGGGACCAGGAGTCCTTTCAGCTCTTGAGAAGAACCCAAGAATGCAAGCATTTCAGCTTAGGTTAATGTATGTTATTAACCTTGGTTTCCTTGAACAATTTCAACTATTTTGGTTGCCCAGAGAAGCTGTGGATGCCCTATCCCGGAAGGTGTTCAAGGCCAGGATGGATGGGGCTTTGAGCAACCTGGTCTAGTGGGAGGTGTCCCTTCCCATGGGGGGCTGGAACCAGGTGATCTTTAAGGTCCCTTCCAACCCAAACTATTCTGTGATTCTTTTTTTTTGTGCTTTGTGGTAGAGATGCTGATCTACTATTGTTTGCACCTACACCAAGTAGCGCTTTCATTGGAGGTGATTCCTTCAAGCATCAAGCTTGTGACATGTTTTAGGAACGTTTGGACATAAACTCTCCACTCACCCCATCATACACAGAAAAAACAGCTTACAAAGTATCACGTACCGTTGACATCTGATGTCAAATCTGTTGTTCTAGTGGAACTGATTTCTTTGTGTGACACTGAGATTTTTATTTTTTTTTTTTACCACCATGACTTCCTGTTTAGGAAATATGTATGTGCAATTTATATTAAGCTAATATGCAATATAACATCTCTGTATGTAAAGAGCTGTAAATGTTTTATTTTTTTTAACATTAAGCATATATTTATTTTTTGGTTTGCAGCCCAGAAATTTGTACCAAGAGCAGTCTTAGTGGACTTGGAGCCGGGAACCATGGATAGTGTGAGATCTGGTCCTTTTGGTCAGCTCTTTCGGCCTGATAACTTCATCTTTGGTATGTAGATGTCACTTAAAAAAAAAAAAAAATCCAACAGGTGTTCAGTTACAGAATGAATGGTCCAAAAGCATTTCAACTATGTTGCCTCCTCCCTATTCCCAAGTGATTGTTAGTACTCACAAACCTTAATAGCTTAACAAAGCAGTTCCAATTATCTAAGTCAGCCAAAAGATTCCATTAACTGAAAGAATCGTTCTTCTGTTAATTGACCCTTCAATTAGGAAATGACTGAAAGTTTCCTATGATACTTGGATAGTGTACACTTGCTTTCAACACATGTGAACTATACAGAAATCCTGAGACTACTTATTTACAACAAAGTGCATGGAAATTCCGCAGAAAATATAAAGGGGGAAAGAAAAACCCTCAACCACAAACCAACCAGACTGTTCTTGGCTTGAATTGATGTTAAGTTCTTGATGTGAAATTGTTTAAAGGCTGTGTAGTTTAACTTCTTCAGCAGAGTCTTACAGTACAGCATAGTAAACAGAAGAAGACCGACTCTAATATGAAAAACACTTATATATGGCTGGTTCTTAGGTTATTTTCCAACATAATGAGGAACAGCCTGAGAGCATGTGAGGAACTTCAGGTTTTGCAGTGTTCTTGGGCAGGGTGGTTCTGGCCTTGGCTGTTTTACTTTGCACTTCTGTAGTACTTTCTGCTGAAGCTTAAAAGTGCGCATTACCATGATTCAGCTTCATAGCATGCTTGTGAAGTACAGAAGCATTATCGGTTCCTTTGCACTAAAGAAGAAGCAGCGTGTGAAAGTCCAGTGATCCACTTGCTCAAACAGGAAGTCTGAATGAAAGCCACCATGAGAACTCTCATGTCCTTCTGGTTTCCAAGTCTGTACTAGCCACAAAACACATTTCCTCTTGCCAAGGCAAGCTTAGGTTGCAAGTTAGTTTGGTATATTGTGTTAACATGAAGAAGGAACAATGCCAGGGACAGACAGAGAAAAGATAAACATTATTTGGGTGGTATGAAACACTGCAGACCAGACTGTCCCTGTTGAGGTAGGGAATAGGAAGCCATAGCGAGTCTTTAAGTCTTTAACTTCAAGCTTTTAATGCTGTCCCTCTTCTTCTCCCATATACTTCATGGCAGTGTTTTTGAAGGCATCTTACAAAGGAATTTTAAGTTACAATATTTAGAAGTAAGCCCGGGATAAAAAGCCATAGGCAGCTGTACAAAATGTTTTTATATTCAGGCTTCTGCTTTTACTCCCTTTCTCTTGCATGGACCACAGCAGCCCCTTGAAAGTGAAATCAGTTGACCTTTGGAAATACCTGAGCTGGAACTTCACCGTTTGGCATGTCACCAGTAATGCCAGAGCAAAATCAATTCAGTGTCTTCAGTACAATGCAGCAGTTCAGTTCACTGCGCTCCCTTCCTGCCGAGCTAACAATGAACCAACAGCATGTGATGGATTTGGATCTGATGGAGGCCCCTGCCAGCATCAGGCACTGTCCTCCCAACCTGCTGAATAATGCAGAATGGCTGCCTGAGTGCTGAAGTAATGATCTTCTGTGTCAAAAGCCAACAAAGCATTTTGTTTTCTCTTTTAAAAATCCAGCCTGGCTAACAGAGGATTTTGTGACAGAAGCTGGCTGTTCCCTACTTGCTGTGTCACAGGCCGTTAGGGCTCATTCTGATGGAGATGTTTGCAGCCCCTGCTTGTATAAACACATCTGTGTGCACATCTCTATAGTGAGTAGCTCTGGACCATCAATCAGAACTTCGTTCAGGTATACTGGGAACCTAGTCACACGCTCCAGATAGAAGAATTTTAACCAGGACCAGCAGGAGATTGAGGTAGATGGAGACATATTCCTCGTGCTGTAATGTTTGTGTTGACAGAATACTGGTCCAAAAGGTGAAGACACAGGTGGAACGAGCCTGCTGCAGGAGAGCAGCAGATCTCCTGGCCTCCTAATGGCATAGGGTTGCTCACCAGGACCCACTGTTGGCAGTCTGATATAGCTTTTTTTAATTTTTTTTTTTCTTTTTTAATGGACTTTTAAGCAGTAGTATGCAAGCCACCAGTCTCTCTTCCCAGATTTATCGTTTATTTCGAGCAGTGGAGAGTGGAAAAGAGAGAAAGAAGACTGCAGGAAATAGTTGCTATTCTGCAGATTAAAAAATAAATAGTCTTTTAAACAAATGGCTTCTGTGCGTGTGCAGGTCAGCCTGAGCATATGTAATAGTTCCACAATTCACTGGAGGAAAGAAATAGTGGTGGGAAGATTTGAGGGTACCAACAGCACAGATCGGTTGTGGGGTTACTTGTAGACTTCCTTTACATCTCAGAAAATGCACAGTGAGAAGAGGCAGGATGCTAGAGACTGGCTCCATACAATACAGAGCTTCCGGGACTGGTGAGAGGTCTGCCAAGTCCTGATTTTTGTGGATACACACTCGTTTTCCTTGCTTAGATTTAGTGTAGCTGGAGTTTGATGATTTTATGTGTTTGCCTAAGATTTTTCAGAGGTTCAGTGGGTATCTGGTAGTGGGAGGCATGCAGTGGGGTTTCACAGTCATGGTCAAGACTTCCAGGTGTATGGCAGCCTTGTCATACCCATGGCACCTCCACACTGTGTGGTGTTATAATGGATAAGAAATCTGGAGCTTCCAGGGATTATGGTACGTTTCTGGTGGTGGTTTTATGGTGCTACAGAGCCAGGGATTCTGCCCAGCAGGAAATCTTCCAAGGAAATGAGATCCTAGGCAGGTGGCTGAGTAAGTAGGTGGAGTGGGATGTTATCGCAGGGGCAGCTGATAGTTACAGGGTGGAGGGAAACAATTAGGATTGGTGAAGGCAGCCGCTGCTACAGTTAAACTGTGAGTTAAATACAAAGGTGCTGCTAGTGCAACAGAGAGAGGTGGCAGCGATCCTGTGGGCCTCCAGGAGTCTGTGTGACTTGGATTCTGAGGGAGTCTGATGCAGTGGTTAGCCTGAAGGAGAACAGGTCCACCTCTGGATTAGCCGTTTTACCTCCTAACTTACTCTGCAAGCTAAGAAAAAGCAAGTAAAATCAGTCTCCGATTATTTTTTTTTCCATGAACATATATTTTCCATGTTTTCAAGAGTAATTACCATTATTTTCTTTCCTCATTCTTTGTTTCTATTCTCCGTTCTCTCCTATTCTCTCCTTATCTTCCTGCCTACTGGAGGAGGATGATACAGTGCTTGCACAAGGGACAGTCTGCAAAATACAGTTCTAAGCTCAGAATTTGGCCTTGATAAAATCCTTCTGCATCTTAGAGCAATGTCTTGTTAACATGCAGCCTGATGTGTTATATGGATCCCTGTCTGTAGTAGGAGACCTGCTCAAGCACACCGCAGGTCGTTGCAAGCATATTTAATTGTGGAAGGATATTACTTTGCTTTGCCCAGCTGGACAGGAAGAGCTGAGCTTCCTAGAGTCAAAGTGAGAAAAATACAGCAGCGTGTAGAACAATGCATCAACCAGCGGAATACATCATGAGGAAACCAAGCATTTCTGCAGTGAAAATAAAGCGTATCATATCTGAACAATGCCCCAGCAGGCAGTTTCCCAAGTTTGTATGTTCTGCATCAACACACACACACTGGAAATTGAGACATGGTAGTAGGAAGGAAGGGAGGACTTGGAGAACAATGCGGGAGTTGACAGCCCTGTACCTGGTTCTGAAACTATCGCTCCTTCTGATGGCCTCTCACAATAGCACTGCTGGCTGTGTTTGGTGGCACAACGAGTGTATGTAGTGGTCACTGGGAGGAATGGGAATATTAAAGGAAAATGGAAGCTGGGGGAGAAAATCAAGGGCTCTTGAAATGCAAATAATCCAATTTTGCAGGTTGCTTTGCAGATCCTGAAGAACAGTGAGTTTCTAGGGAAATGAGTGTAAGTTAGAAGGCACTTAGTAACTCATAAATTTTTGAAATAACATTTGTGAAGTTTCTGTTGATTGCTATTTTGATTCAGGCTAGGTAACTGCAAATTTAAAAAGCTGCAGTTCTTGATATAGCAAGTTAAAAAGGCCTTCAGAAGCCCAACCTTACCCTTGAATGACAACAGTGCCTCCTGTCTGGCAGTAGCAACTCATGGGAACAGTCCAAGAACCTTTCATTTAGCAATGCGCATCTGTGATTTAGCTTTGTATACATCATGGTCCTTATAAACTGAGAGCATTTAAATATAAACAGTCTCCTTGTGTTTATGGAATAAGCAGGATTGGGAGTGTGAGAGCTTTCAAAGCATGGAGTCAATGCCATCTTTGCAATTATGGAAAGTTAAATACCAAAAACCAGAAAGCCACCCAGAGGCATAAATGAAAACTAAGGGGGATTTGAGGCAAAAGGAGACTGTCTTAAAAAGCTTGTGGATACTGCTGAAAACATTTGTAGGCAAAACTGAAGAGTCCTGTTACCTACCTGACAGATTTATAGCAGCTTTTTTTTTTTCCCAGATGTGATGTGAATCTTTGGTGTCCAAATGCCAAACCCTACCAATAACTTCATATATAATTTTTCCCTATTGTATGTTGCTTTAGGACAAACTGGTGCAGGAAACAACTGGGCCAAAGGACACTACACAGAAGGGGCAGAGCTGGTTGATTCCGTACTTGATGTAGTAAGAAAAGAGTGTGAACACTGCGATTGCTTGCAAGGATTTCAGCTCACTCATTCCCTGGGAGGAGGGACAGGGTCTGGCATGGGAACCCTGCTCATCAGTAAGATACGAGAGGAATATCCTGACAGGATAATGAATACCTTCAGTGTCATGCCCTCCCCAAAGGTCTCTGATACTGTGGTGGAGCCTTATAACGCTACGCTCTCGGTCCACCAGCTGGTTGAAAATACAGATGAAACCTACTGCATTGACAACGAAGCTCTGTATGACATTTGCTTCCGCACGCTGAAGCTCACCACTCCGACGTACGGCGACTTAAACCATTTGGTCTCCGCTACCATGAGTGGGGTAACCACATCCCTGCGTTTCCCTGGCCAGCTCAACGCTGACCTCCGGAAGCTGGCAGTAAACATGGTCCCGTTCCCCCGCCTTCACTTCTTCATGCCAGGCTTCGCCCCGTTGACAGCCCGAGGCAGCCAGCAGTACCGCGCACTCACCGTTCCCGAGCTCACCCAGCAGATGTTTGACGCCAAAAACATGATGGCAGCCTGTGACCCAAGGCACGGGAGATACTTGACGGTGGCTACCGTCTTCCGGGGTCCCATGTCGATGAAGGAGGTTGACGAGCAGATGCTGGCCATCCAGAATAAGAACAGCAGCTACTTCGTGGAGTGGATCCCAAACAACGTCAAGGTGGCGGTGTGTGACATTCCGCCCCGTGGCCTCAAGATGGCTTCCACGTTCATCGGCAACAGTACTGCTATCCAGGAGCTCTTCAAAAGGATCTCGGAGCAGTTTTCAGCCATGTTCAGGAGAAAGGCCTTCCTCCACTGGTTCACGGGAGAAGGAATGGATGAAATGGAATTCACAGAAGCAGAAAGCAACATGAATGATCTGGTGTCGGAGTATCAGCAGTACCAAGAGGCAACAGCAAATGATGGAGATGAAGCGTTTGAAGATGAGGAAGAAGAAATCAATGAATAAAGAAATTAGGTATGCTGTTTTCCAGGCCAAACTCTCACATCTGGATTTGTAATAATTAGGCTTATAAATCTGTATCTAGGCTTCAAAAAAAAAAAGAAAAAAGAAACATGAGTCTCAGATGCTCGTGGCGGTGCTCTTCTGAGTACATTGAGGTCCCTGGGAACTGAGGACATTCAGTGTTTCTGAAAATCAGGCTATTTCTGTTCATGAGACAAATGTAAGGCATTCGGTTAAGACTTTGGCCTAGGAGTCTGAACACAGAGTGCTAGTTTGGGATCTTTTTTTTCCAAACAAATTCGTCTTCCATAAAGTTGTACAAGAGAAGAAGTAAAATTCCGCATGAATATCTACCAAATGGAGCTGCACTATTCTCATCCAATTTTGAGTAAGAAAATCTTGTGGGTTTGAAGTATTCATTCTGTACTGAATGTACAATACTGAACTGCCAGGAACAAAAATTTACTGATAATAAAAAGAAGAAAAAGCTGTTAATGTTTCTGTACAGTAAGTATTAATGATGGCATTTGACTCGAATTCTCTAAAAACGGAATAAAGAAGATTAGTATGCTCAAGCAAAAGTGTTTTGGGCGGTCAGTGCTGTATGAATACCAAGTGAGCTGCAGGCTGGAGCTGAGCTGTGTGGCTTCATCACTTGTTGCTGGGTAGTCGTGGATTACATGAACGAAATCCGTCCATTGGGGGAATGGGCATTAAGGACCTGTGGGGTGTAAACTGGCAGCAGCTGATGGTGGTTCTGGTGCCTGTCTCCACTCCACCTTGCCCCAAAGTCAGATGCTCCAGGGAAGGTGGTGGGAGAGGGGCTGCATGCTGCTGCAGCGCTCTACCCGGGTTTAGTTCACCACCCCTAGGGGTGCTGTGGACATCTCGTAACCAAAACTTGTTCAAATCACTGGGTAGGCTGAGGTTGAAGTACAGATAAAAGTATTTATGATACTCAAAACAGCTGGCAAAATGAAAGATAAACAGCAGCTAATCTGCTTACACGGCAGCTCAACCCGAAAGGTCTCTGTCTTACCGCACTGGCTTGCCGCCTTGACAGAAGGACCGTTGGGTATCCACTCTTCACGCATGCTTTGTGCTTCTGGTCGTATCAATTAAACAGCCCTTCTCCATCAGAGAGCCTCCACCAGAACACTCTGTCTACACGGAGAGTCTTATTTAGGTCAGTTTCTAGGCAACAAAACAAGCAAACAAAGGAAAAACCCTGCGGAAATCCAAACTTCATGTGTTTCAGGAACTCTTTGCTCTTTGTCTTCTCGCCTTCTGAAGCACTTTCTAAGCAATGGCGTTGCTCAATACTTAAAAAGGCACTTTACAAGCATAATTTCCAAGGATCCTAAAGAGGTGATCTTTTGTTAGGGATTCGGGGAATAAGACTGTAAAGTGCCTGAGCTGTGTAACTGTTTATCGTGTAAGCAGAAGATGTCGGCTCAGTTTTGTTCCATACACAGCTGGAACAAACCGAATTTTCATCAAGGACACATAGAAGCCGTAGCCCAGCTTCTTCGAGTGAGGTAGGAGCAGCCATCTCTTAGCTTCTGGAACCTTGTTTCATTGTCACACAGAATTCATTACTAGGTCTCGGCCATAAATTCTGGTAATATTAATAAAATTAATTTTTAAAAAGTTAATACTTTAAAAATGCCAGGGATCTCAGAGATCCTGAATAACTGAGTGTTTGCTTAGTGAGCCAGCCTCTTGTTTTTCCTACATGGGCTCAAGCCAGAATTCCACCCAGAACCTGTGGAAGCCAAGTTTGCAACGTCCCCGGCTCCTGGTTTGACTCAGTCATTCTTTTACACGTGTTTACTTGCAACCGTTGGATGAGGCTTTCTAGAACGTATTGCGACGAGGGAGGCAACTTAATGCCACCTTTAGAGGGGAAAAAAAAAAAAGGAGACAGCTCTTGCATGTGATTTTAGCAAAGAAAAAAACAACCAAAAGCACCCTTATGACCCAGCATCCTGTACTAGGAACATCACCAGAGGACCAGCTTGCATGAGAGCAGTAAGAGCCCCGGGAAGCCAGAAGGTTTCCTGTTCCTTTTCACTCAAGCATCTTTCTAATCACCTTCCTATTTTTTGACACAAACCAGCCATCTCTTTCATTAATAGGTTTGCTGGACATTTCCTTCAGTTGCGTTTCCTTTCAAGCAAGTTTCTGCTCTTTACTTTGGAACTTCTCTTATTTTGAACTGTACCTGCTGAGCCACGCCTGGCTTTGTTTGTCTTTTCCACATTCCCCACTTTTGTTTTTCAATTCCCTGCTGTTTTTCCGACCTAGTCCCCAGCAGCCTTCCTTTCTGCATGTGCTGCCTGGGCCAAGCTCCCATAGGCGCTTGATTTTTCCCCTCCTGAGCTCGTTTTTCTCCCTTTCCTCTCTTGCATGTTATCTCTGAGGATACAAATCTCTAAGGAAAGGGCAGTGACCCCTTGGGAACAGGGGCAAGGCTGGGAGAGGGCACGGGTCTAGCAGCAGGAGGACCAGGGAAGGCGGTGGCTCCCCTCGTGCTGCACAAGCCCCTGCTAGTTGAAGCAGCACTGCGCTGCGTTTGCAAACAAAAATAATCTGCCTTTATTAGCAGCCACAGCACAGACTAAACTTGATTTTCTGGATTTAAGCTAAACCACTTGAAGCCTTGCAGTTGTAGGCTAAGAGTCCTCTTTAAAGGAGCAGGTTGGGCAGAGTTTAATTGGCTTTGCTATCTTTGTTTGGATTCCAAGATCCCAGCACAGTCAATTTCTGCCACTTTTGGCACAGAATACGAAAACTTAGTGAGGTGAGGCTACACAAAGTAGGCTGATGCTCTGAAAACGGGGCAAAGGAACTTGCATCTCCCTAACAGTATCAGAGGCTTACTAATTGCACGCCACAATTAGAGAAGAGTGAAGTTTAAACTCTACACAGACAGCACAAACAGGGTGTAGGGTAACACTTCCCAGAGAGCAGGGGTTTCTTTTACAGTCAGGTAAAGACTGAGAAGAATTCAGCTAGGGCATTTTTGGAGTGGCTGGGTATGGCTTGTGCCTGATTTTTAGGGGTGGTTGGGGGCTAAACAAGGAATGAGGAAACATGGGATGGGGACCTCTAAGTCATAACCACATTTAGTCCTCAGCACTGGCTGCACATCGCCTATGAGAAACAAGGGAAAAAAGTTCCACTTAATGGGAAACGGGAGGAAAAAACACATGGAATTAAATACAAGCATATTTAAAGCTTATAGATGTGAGGAAAGGGTTAACTGTTCCACCAAGAAGTCAGGCACCCAGTGCTGTAAACACCCCCTGAGCACTTTCACAGGCTGTACAAGGAGCAACAAACGGATTATGTGACAAAAACACCCCAAACCCTGGTCTGAGATAAGCAGCCTTGGAGAAGAGCAAGGCCTTGGGGAGGCATAAACAGAGGGCTGGAGCCAGCCCAAGTCCAGACACCTGCCCTGCGCCACCGGGAGCTCTGCTGGGCAGGGAAAGGGCAGGGATCTGCAGCACCAGGAGCAGCGTAGTAGTGGTGGGATGTGTTTGCCCAGTGTTCTGCTGCAAGTCATGTATAAGTTACTGCAAATTTTCGTGGGGGTGTCTCTCTCTTTCAAGGAGTAGGGGTCTCATGACTCACGTTTAATAAAAGCTTTGTAAATCTACCCCTCAGTCTTGCTTCCTCAGTCACAGACATTGAGTCACTTCTGTGACATAAAATAGTTTACTATAGCAGTAAGTCAGTCACTCTAAACTTCGGTTCCAGTAAGGAAAGAACTGAAGTTTAGTTTTATTTGGGACATTTGCTTGTTTGTTGTGCATTCTGCAACAAGAAATTCGAAAGTAGCGCACGGAAACATTGTTTAACAACTAAAAGAGGTGCAGTAAGTACACCCTGAATTGCTCCTTACCTTGTGCCCCTTGTTCCCCTTCACTGCAAGCCAGGCAACGTCACTGATGGCAACAGCTTCATCATGAAAAAGTAAAATAATCCTGAAAGAATGATTTCCATAAACAATTTACTTCAAATAACTCAAGCAAAGAGCTAATGTCTGACCTTTCATAGACACTTCCACCTCCCCCTTACCACCCTACCGCTTTCCAGCATGTTGCAACGTGCAGATGGAATCAGTCACTAATTATTCCCTTACAACTGAGAGGGCAGATTAAGCCTCGAATAATTTGTTATCCAGCGGAGGTTTTGTTTCTTCTCCTTCCCTTATAAAAAACAAAACAACACAGCCCACACCCACACTCCCTCTTTTTTTTTTTTTTTTTTTTTTTTTTAAAAAGAGGGGGAGACTGCCAGTTAGCTTCTCAACAGCCGAGTTCTCTAACTAGCACAGCCTCGGCATGCAGCAGGTAAACCAGAGGCAATTGCTGTGCTCAGACAACTGTGCTAAACTAGGCAGAGAAAATTATTGCCCTTTGGTTCAGCAAACCAATATGACACTCAGTCTGATTTAGTATCTTTGGCTGCTGGTTTTGGTAAATTAGGATAGCAAAATTGTTCTCACAAATAAAGTTTTATGCTCCAGTCATTTTGTACTAAACTGAATTCTGTACCAAGAAATCATCAAAAGAAAAAAAAAAGAAACTTTGCTCAGAAAAGTACTGATTTTATTGTCTCAAACTGTATTTACACAACACATTCATATGTTCAATATCTTACAGAACTCTGTAAAAAAACCTGACCAGTAAAACTGCAGGAGCCGAACTAAGTTTCAGACTCAAGGACACTGAACCACGAGTACGTTTTAAGATATTTAAGCAGGTGTTCAGTTTCACTGTCAACTTACATGGCAGTTCTCTGTAAACAAATTCTTTTTAAAATCAAAATCAGGGGCGGGGAGAAAAAGGGTCAGATGAAAAAGCTGTTCTTTTCTGCAAAGCTAGCGCTTTCTAAGATCAGACTGTTGGCCAAGTATTCAACAATGCATTTTGTATGATTCTGCTTTGGAAACGAGTCACATACAGGTCTATTTTAGATCAATAATCAAAAATGTTTTTTTTTTTTTTTTAAATAAGCATACATACATTTGAAAAAAAAGAGACCAGTGCCACAAAGTTTGTGCATGAATCTGAACTGTTTCTGTGTTTGAGAGGTTCAGTTCTGGCATTCCACTGCAGCTCAAATCCAATGCATGTTTCTTCAGCTGACAAATGAAGGATGATCATCTTTTACCAGTGAACTGATGATATCACATATGTAAGCCGGGAGCAGAACATCCTTGTCTCATCACCAGGCACCACTCTTCCAGCCATCCCTAATACAGTTTGGTTGAATAAATATTTGTTTGTTTTGGAAGTACAAACTAGGTGAGTTTCTTTCTCTTCCAGAGTGCAAGTCAGCCTCGCCGAACATGTTGCAGTTAAAAGGGCATCCCTCCGGTGATCTGCCTAGCGACCTGTTCATCTGTTGTCTCCTCTTTCTCTTTTTCTCTATCTTTGTTCCAGTCTTTAAGGCCTTCTGGCAGTGAAGTATCCTCATCCAAGCTTCCTGTACCTTCGACAAATTCTTCGTAAGTGGACTTTTCTGCAAACGGTCTCGGGCCAAGCAGGTCTAGCATATCACTTTTATCCAGCACTTCCTTCTCCAGCAGTCGTAGGGCAACCTGGAAGAGCAGAAAGTTACGTCACACACAAAACACCAGTTGGTTCTCTTCCTTGGAGAGAGCTTAGGGCAGCTTGGGACAAGATTTATCAAAATTAATCTGTGCTGAATGAAGGAACAGGTTGCTCAGGGTTCACTTAATACATAGTTTTTCTCCTCAGGTAGCAAAAATTCCATTAAAAAATAATCCTACTTAAAAGATCTGGCAGAACACCCCTGCTACAGGCCACTGTTGCAGTTATTGTTACTTCAGAAGGAGTCTTTGGCTGCTGCCAAAAGGTTCCTGATGCAATACATCAACAAGTGTTCTCTGCCTATCAGGCCTGATGGTTTGGCAAGGCTGCTGTTAGGTTACAAGCTACAGAGCACCATAAAAGATCCGTGTGCATAATACTGTGCATGTGTAGTTTGTGACCTTCTTGGGCCAGTGAGCTACTGTTCAGCAGAAACAATATTCAGTGATCTTTTTCAGGATGGTGACCAGGATGGGTTATGTCGTGGGTGGTGGTTGGTTTTGGCTTGTTTTCTCCCTTCACACTGGCCTCATACATTTCCTGACACCTACTTTAGTAGATGGACTCTTCTCTCCAACTTTGCAAATGAATGTTTACCATAGTGGTGAAGGGATGTTAAACAAAACATCCGTTAGAACCCTGGGGTGTTCCAACACAAAGATTTTTATTCACTTAAATCTTGTGGCACACTCTAAAAGTTATATTGAATAATTTTCAAGGAAACTTTCTTATACACACACATTATTTTTAATCTATTCAGTTCAATTCAGATACTGCCTAACCAGCTGAAAATACTGTAATGCTTACCTTCTCTACTTCTGCTTTCTTCTCAGTCAGAAGGGTTAATGTCCGGTCGTACGCAATGTTAATAAGCGACCGAACTTCTTCATCTATCAATCTGGCAGTTGCCTCGCTGTAAGGTTTCTCTAATACCATGTCTCCTTGACGGGGGAGATCAAAGGAAATCTGCCCAACTTTTTCATTCATCCCAAACTGGACAATCTGCAAACAAACAGAGGGGAGATGGTGAGACTTCAGGGTACGTTGATATAAATCTGGTAGACAGAACTGACACAAGGAAGGCATTTTACTATGACCCAACCTTTTCCTCTAGAGCCAACCCTCCTCTGAGAGCTCCAGCCTACCTAAGCTTAAGTTCCTTAGTTAACCTTCACTTGCTCCTTTTTAATGATTAAAACTGAAGCACCCAAATACCATCATTTGGAGGTGGTTACTCTTGTGATGTACATAATGCTTTCCTGTTTAAATACCAAGAGATTAGAGAAAAAGATTTAAACCTTCCTTAAGCTGACAAACTCTTCTCCTTTACCAGAAATTCAAGTTAAGGATGAAAGTACAGGGTCTCAAAGATACTGTTCTATCACATGCTGTATTTTACTCCAACCATACCCTACAAAGGGGACATAAATCTCATCTTGCTTTATTCATGAATGAGTATCAGCTCCTGGCTGCCACATATAGGTATTCTGCATTTTACTCCAGCAGAGGCAGAAATACACGTTCACACTACTATTTACAGGTTCATTCCATCACCACCATCAATTTGAAGGTTACTAAAGCAATACTCTACTGCTCAGCCTTGCAAGATGAAAATCGGTGTGACAAACAGTATTCAGAACTGAGAAAGCTTTCAGCACTAGAAAGAAGCATCTTAACCTGCTTCCTAAAGATATGTTCAAAACCTTAAGTCCCTAGATCTCTCTGGAGACAACGTCTGCTTATGATGAAAAGCAATTTATACATACTGAACATTTTCTATTTAAAATCGACCAAGAGGCACTGAAGGCCAGATAAACATTAGCATTACCAAAGATTTCACTACACATTTAATGTTCAGAACTGGGAAAGCAAGAAGTTTGCCACAGATCAGCAAGCGGTTACGGCTGGAGGTGGACAGCAGGGGGAACATGACATGTGAGGGAAAAGTACTCCAACATATTTCTCTTGCTCACCTCATAAGCATCTGATAAAATGGCAGCTTTTATGTTGATGCAGGAAATGGAATAAGCATCTAGTACATAGCTACAATTAGATGAGTCACTACATTGATAAGATTTCAAATTGCTCACCAATGCTAGTTAATATGGTACAAACTAGTGCCCTCATTGACAGCAAACAGTGCATAAATACAAGGTTTTCTGGATTTAGTTACACATGCAAACTTAAATTGTGTCTTCAAATAGGGCAATTCTACAAGTAGCATCAGAGGAATGAATTTGAACACAACCGCAGCATGCATGTTCCTGCAGGTGGATGCACGACAGTGTTCAAAGCCCATTACACAGAGTCTTGCTGTAAGACTACCCTAAGACTCTGGAATCATCAGCGTCTCTATACAACAGCATAACATTTAGTCATACAATATTTTATTGAGTCAGCTTTCAAGGGACATACCTGATTAAATCACATCCTTTAAAAACATTAACGTTGAACAGTAGAAATAGAAACCTGTAAGGAAGAGGAGTATTACTTAAGCACATACCTGAGCGTACGCACTCTGTGTCACCTTCTTCAAGTCATCTTGGGCACCAGTGGTAATTCTTCCAAAGAAGATTTGCTCAGATACACGTCCTCCCAGAGTCATGCACATTCTGTCAAGTAGCTGCTCTTTGGTATAAAGGTACTGTTCTTTTGGTAAATACTGAGCGTAGCCCAGCCCTTTACCACGTGGGATAATAGATACCTGCAATCAAAATTAACAGAATGATAAAACTGAACAGTGTTGAAAAACAAAGTATTTGTTGGTTTGACTTAATTATTGAATACCACAACCTATACCATACTCACCCTTGAAGTTTAATTCAGACATTATCTCCGTTTACATTTTTGCCCTCATTGTGATTTATCCTTAAAAGCCCTGGCTAGCTCTAAACTGGGATAACAACTACTAGAATATCTGGAAAAGAAAGGTAAGACCACTGTAATATCTTTTCCAAAGATTGCATGGCATTTTTAAATCTGATAATTTAAAGCTTTTAGTTACATACTGGCCTGTAAGTATTTCCATAGCAGACACCCCATTTCTGTATCTCTAATATTCTGAGCAGATGGTTTCCATGTTCACTACAGCCCTTCCAGCCATACTAGACAAATTTTAAGCTTGAAAGCCAGACAACATTAAGAACACAGCCAAGGAAAAACTATGGGTATCACAGCAAGTCTGGCTGCCTTTTCTTTATCTTCAACTCGTCAAGCTGGGCATCCAAATTTAAATCAGCTTCTGGATGATCATTTCTGTAGTTGTATTATTGAGGCGGCATGCACCTGCATAATCTCATAAGATTAATTTAAACATCTGACCTGTACTAAAAGCCCCAGAGAAAAAACAGCTATCAAATCAGGCAGTCTCAGGGGAAGATCACGTCCCTTTCACTTGCAAGAGTTGTTCATACTACAAACCCCGTAACACCCTACCAGTCAGAAAACAGTTAAGAAAGCTACAAGAAGCGAACCAGAACAGATGCTAACATTGACACACTTTCAAGGTCTTTTGCAAGATTACATATTTTGATAACCTTCCAACATTAGGGAAAACAAACAAACAGGACAAAGAGATGCTGTCCATGCTACTTTTAAATT